CCGATATCGAATGCTTTCACGAACAGTTCACATCACGAGATCATTGAAGTAGAGATAAGTTGAAGGATATGTTAGCCCTATGATCTTATTATTGTATTACGGCCTGCATGATTCTGCCTCATGCCCCACTGATATTAGTAATGAGTTAGGGTCGTCGAGTCTATTGTTATTTCTATGGCCTGCATGATTCTGCCTCATGCCCCACTGGTCATGGTGATAGATGAGATCTAACATGTTCATTAGATTTACCTTTATTAAATGGTTAAGTGGTGTCGAATTTTTTCTTTATATAAAAAGGGGTTCGGTTACTTGTAATTATTGGCTCAGTATAAATCAATCATCATCGACATCTTATTGCCATTAATTAAATTATTGCTCGAATTATATCTATCTTGGATGATAACCGATTCTTCTTACATAACCCCATGAGCTTTAACCGATTTATTCTTATGAATATGCCGGAATCGACTATTTAGTCGATCTCCTCTCATATCGGCTCTCAGAGCCGCACATTCGGGACTGTCTGGCAACACCGGCATGTTCCGCCCTTAATTACTGATAAACTTTCTCTCCTTGTCAATTGTAGGGTCAAATTGACTGGCACACCTCGGGAGGATTGTGCAAGATCGACCACCCTTGAGCTGAAGCTAGGCGGATCTGCTCCATCGAGCGGACCCTTCCGGCTTGCTGCGTGTGTCCTCGGCACGGGACGAAATTCTATGTCGACACCACCGAACCTCAGAGCCATACCCGCGAAGGGTCTGAATCACCCCCAGGCAATTCTATCCGAATCACCTGGGGGCTCGGGGGCTACACCCGACGGGTGCGCTCGTGCGCACCCTCTGGCAAGTCAAATAACCCCACGGACGATTCTATCCGAATCACCCAGGGGCTCGGGGGGCTACACCCGTCGGGTACGCTCGTGCGCACCCTCAGGCAGGTCAAATCATCCCTCAGGTGATTCTATACAAATCACCCGGGGGCTCGAGGGCTACTATTGGGGACCAAATACTAGGGTACCCAAAGAGGAGGAACTAATAACCATCAAACGTTGACGCTTCCAAACAGACAAGAGCGCGATTACACCTATTGCCTAATGACCAAGAGCAGGCTCTGCCTCGCCCGATGTCTGGGAGCAGACTCCCCGACCCTTGGGGGCTGGCTCCGTCTCACCCGACGTCTATGTGCTGCTCCTTCATAACTACGCGAGTAGATAAGGCAGGGCACTCAAGTCAACCGTAATACCAAGGACCATACCCTACACGCCTACAGGAAAGTACCATTAGGATATGATCAGACGGGCGCTCTAAGCCCTTCTAGGCATGTCAGAGCCCAAACAGTGTTGTGGGCGCCGACATTTGTCCTATAGTGTTATGGGCGCCGGCATTTGCCCTCGTACACGAATCCTGACGGAAACATACGACGACCACTATGGTCCAGGAGGAAACTCATGTCATCTACAGTAACGAACGAGGGACCTCTACGTCGTCTGCTCCCCGTAGGGTCATGGCTTGGCACCCTGGTGCGTCGCGCCGCCCGCCAGGGCAGGATGAGACGTGACCACTTGCTGAATGAAGCCAGAGCACGACCTTATCAGGATCAACGAATGTGCTATCCCTAGCACCATCCGCCGTGTCAGTGGGACTGGCTTAGAGAAAAAGGAAGACCCGGCACCTTCGAAGGACTTTCTTGCCCTCTGGTTTTTCTTCTTTCTCCCATCTGTAACCCCTGCTCCCCTTGATCTATAAAAGGGAAGGTAGGGCACCCCACTAAGGGGACAAATCAATTCAATACATCACACACCAATTCCACACACAGCTGAGCAGCATCCATGCTCTTAGCACCTGTTCGACCTTTTCATCAGAGACTTGGGACCTATCCCTCTCTCGTCCGTTTGTATCCCCTACTACGAACCTTTTAGTGCTAATAACATGAGCAGCAGCCGTGAACTAGACGTAGGGACATTTTGTCTTAACCAGTATAAACCTTCTGTCTTTTAGCACACCATCCGGGCCCAACACGCAACAAATACAAATTTACTAGATGGTGTTTACTCGAAACACCGACAACGTGCTTCGTACAGTGACTACAAGATGGGTACTAGCAGCTTCGGGACCTTCTACACCGACGACACTCCTCCTTGAGGCCGCCATGAGGCCGGGCCCTCACAGCTTTCTGGTGCACCTCAACTGACTCAGCCGACTGAGGATATGTAGCCTACAGAGTTGACCCCGCCAGCACGCCAGCGCCGTCCTCGGGACCAACGCAAGTACTCCTAGGTGCTGTTGCTCGAAAAGTGTTAAAGTTAGTTTTTCGTTTGGTGATGGTTGTGTTCGGAAAAGAGGACCACATCGGGTGTTTCGGAAAAGAGGATCACATCATGAAATAGTGCAATCGGCCGCTGGAGAGGTCTGCTATCGGCTGGCCGAAAGCCGACAGGGTCTGTTGGCCGTCCAGCTGCCGACAGGTCTGCTATCGGCACCGACAGGCCGGCGTCGGCTGCCACGTTAGCCTTATCGGCTTCTGAGATGCTGATAAGGAACCTGTCGGCCATCAAGTGGCCGACATGATGCTATATCTGTAATTTTTGTATAACAGCTTCTAGATTTTCAATTATTCATTAAAAATATTATTTAAAAAAAATTCTCAAGTGGAATACTCCTGGCTTTTCAGTTTTCAGCAAAACAAAAAGGGGAATCCTCCTGGCTTTTCAGTTTTCAACAAAACAAAAAAGGGGTTTCGTTTTATACACGGGGGATAGAGATGGCCGGGCCCTTGCGTGGCGATGGTGGATTCTCCACAAGGCGTGTGCGCGGCTCAGCTTTGACCGTATTTGATTCAATCAGCGAATGCTGATGGCCGTATTCGAACTCAGGCGTGTGCGCGGCTTCGAGGTACTAGTAGAGACTATAACTAAATACTTTCCCTGTTTCCAAATTAAACGCACATATTTGGACATCGACTATATTGTTTATACAATTTTGTATAGTTTCCTCTTACTTTCCCTATTTTCTTAGAGCTGAGTCTACTTTTTTTTTGCGAAGGGAAGGAGACTTATATTAAATTTTGGTACAGTACATCTCCAAATTACACATGAAAAAAATCTAAAATAAAAAATGCATAATATTCTATCTAGATTTTTTCATCGTCTTTTCTCCAATAGCTTCTTCTTATGCCGAATCTAACTACCAACCTCAAAACATTGGACTTGCCACAAAATCTAACGCTTTGGAACCAACCCAAAAACACATTAAATCGTTGAAATTGGACATAGCGGCTCAGCTTTGACCGTATTTGTTTAATTAGCGAAATGCTGTGCCGATGGCCGTATTCGAAACCATAGCCATTACTCGGACTCCGGCGGTTGCGCGGTTTAGGCGTAGAGACTATATAAATATAAATATATAAATATACGCTGAATTTCCAGAACGAGAGGTAGGGGCAGGCGTGGGTGGTCCAGGTGGACCGATATTGACGACGAGATGAAGGTACTAGTACTCATTCCAAATCTCTAATTTGCCATGTAATTCTATTTATTAGTTCTCCACGAATACCCTATCTACGAGCCCAAATTTGATGCAGTATAGAATTTGCATGTATTCTGGTGTCATTGTGTCAATGAACCGCTAATTCGCCAACGCTCATTGGATTTAAAACCGGCGAACAATATTTAGACAGACCAAACCTTCTCTTTTTAGAAAAATAATTTCCACCGCTTCCTCTGATTGGATAATGCCGCGTGTGCTCGTTTGCTCGGCTGCACGCGCTGGTAACTCTAGGGCGTGATTGGTAGGCCGAACCGGCCGTCCCACATCGTTTAGTTGTCTGATCTCATTCATGCAGCGTGTTTGGTTATTTTCCTCACATTTTTTGTCAGTATCCTTTCATTCATCTGCCTTCCTTCATTCCGTACGACTTCGTCTTCTCAATTTCCACTTCCCTTTCTATGCAGGATGGCTTGATTCATGGCGCAGGGACCCATGTGTCATACACTTAAAACTCACATCCATGCATGTAACCAAATAAGATGGCATCTCATACTGGACCAACAACAAAGACAACCAACCACGACTGAATGCACGGTTTAAGCATGCATCTCACCATCTTGAACCGGCTCTCCATCCCGGCTCCCCCTTACCAAAGCAACCAATCACGTCCAAGCGAACCGCCGCATGCCCACTCATTTTCAGCTGATGTGATGTCACGCTGACGCAGCTAGAAAAAAGCAAAACATTTATTTAAAATTGCTATAACTTCTGAATGGCGTATCAATTTTTAATTCCGTATGTACCAGTGTGTTCTACGTGACGAGACGAACAAAACTAGATCCCACTTGCATATATTTTGAAGGATTTTTTTAGTAACAAATTATGTGTAATAACTTATAACGTATAAGTTATGCGAAAAACTTAGAAACTCAAGAGTTATGAAACACAATCTATTTAAAAAAAATATTAAACACAAAGGAACGAATTAATTTATAACTTATGCTAAAACTTACAAACACAAAAGTTATTAACACACGAAGAAACGAATTAACTTATACCTTATACCAAAACTTAGAAACACAACTTATGTACAAAAGTTATTCTATACAACTTGTGTACATAAGTTATTTAATACAACTTGTGTGTATAAATTGGAAGTTATAAATTTATACACGTATAGTGGTACTAGCAAAAAAAAAATTGAAGAATATATAAGTGGGGTATAATTTTATTCGTCTCGTCATATAAAACGCACCGGTGTAAACGGAATTAAAAATAGACACCCCGTTGAGAAGTTAGATTGACATGTTGAGAAGTCAGGTTGACATGTCATTTTTTTTCCTTTTTTGCCCTTTTCTCAGTCTCATTGACCGCAGCAGCTGGAAAATCCCTATTTTCCCCCGTTTTTTTCCTCCCGAGATCCCGAGATGCGTGCGAACTGAAACTTGCTGGTACTATAAATACGTCGTCCTGCTCAGCAAGGAGAAGGGCTGCGACGTGAAGCTCGCGAGGATGGTTGCGCCGGCGGGGCGGCGCATCAACCACAGGTTCGAGTTTCAGGTGCAGGCCATAAGCGCGGAAAAGCTGCCCTTCATCCTTCACGCCGTCGTCGTCTTCACCACCATCGCCCCTATCACCGACGACGACGACGGCGGCGGCACCCTCCGCTACGACGACAACCTCTCCCGCCACATCTTCAACGACCACGTCAGGGGCGTCATCAAGCGCGATACCCTCGCACTGGCGGCGTCCATGACCATGGAGGAGATCTTCCGCGCCACCACCAGCTCGTCCATCAACCCCCACCAGGACGCCGTCTTCGAGTTCGAGAACGTGCAGCTAGAGCTCAACAAGCAGTTGGGCCGCCTCATCGTCTACGCGAAGCCGCAGTTCGTGGACGCGTCGTGGAACGTGGACGACTTCTCCTGCATGGCCATGGTGGCCGAGGAGGAGCGAGAGCGACAGGACGGAGCGGCAAGGCAAACGGAGATGGTGTTGTTGACTGTCGTCTGACAGATTTGCTATAGAATTTGCATCTATTAGTTATAAGAGCTTCCAAAGCATACATAGGCTGATTTTTTCTTCGTGTTCATTTTTCGTCTTGGGCCCAGGTCCACGTCCAACAGGAGTTGCAAAGCAGCGAGCGGCCGAGCAAGATCGATGAAGTCAAGGAGTCGTCACGTAGCTGGGCCTGGCAATCGCTGAAGCCCCTGCTTTTTCAGGTAGTGACTTGTTTAGTTCGTGGTTAGGAATCAGTATTTGACACTGTAGCATTTTCGTTTGTATTTGACAATTATTGTTCAATCATAGTCTAACTAGGAATCAAACTATATAATTAGTTTTTTTTTATCTATATTTAATACTCTATACATATATCCAAAAATTTGATGTAATGAAAAAAGTGAAAAAACTTGAAATCTAAACAAGGCCCTAGAAAAATCCGCTTTGGGCCTAGAGCACCTGCACCTGCACCTGTAACCCCCACGTCCACTGGGCTTGTGTCCAAACGGCTTGCAGATCCAGCCTTGCGACTCCTGTGCGATTTTATATTAGACCAAAAAAATACAGTCACCAATCTTGTCTAAAAAGATTGTTTTTTTCCCAAAGCATACGCATACCCCAGTGGTTAGCAGTTGACGAATATTAAGTGCTAATAACTAAGGAATAGTTGAAAATGTACAAACGAATATTAAGTGGGAGGGAACAAATCCCTCCATCCCATTACATCAACTTTTCCATCCCATTAGATCAACTTTTAGTATTGTTCAAAGTCAAAGTAGTTTCAGGTTAACTAAATTTATAGAAAAAAAATATCAATATTTATGACACCAAACACTAGATATATCGTGAAATATATTTTTCATAATGTATTTAGTTAATTTCACAATCATCATTACCATTTAATATAAAGCTAACCAAACTTAAGATAATTTGACTTAAGGTGATTATAAAAGTTGATTTATTTTGGGACGAATGGACCAGTACGAAACTATTCCCTCCGTCTAATAAAAAGTGGTGTCGCTGTGGATTCGTACTGGTCCAACTTTCTTAATTTTGAATAGGTTTATAAAAAAATACTAGCAATATTTGTATCCCCAAATAAGTTTATTTTAAAAATATATTAAATGATTTATCTAATAATACTAATTATGTACCATAAATATTAATATTTTCTTATATATATTTAGTTAAAGTTAAAAAAATGTTTGACTTCTTCAAAAGTGAGAATATGATATTTCTTATGGGATGAAGGTAGTATGGATTAAATAAAATTTTACATAGTTGTTGATTACTCTCAGCATATATCTAAACTTGATGGTATTAGTTTTTTTCCCACAAAAATGCAGGTCATCTATGGCAATGGTATTGATACCGCAGCTGTTCAGCTCGAACAGCGAAAGAAAAGTTGGCCCAACTATACTCTGAAGGCCCTGTTGTTCGCTTGCGCCATGTTGTTTTCCGCGTACATGAATCTTTCTTCATCAACATCAATCACCATCAAAATATTGTTTGTGCTTGACATTGTGGTATTCTTCATCATCGATGGAGTACTCTACATAAATATGCCTAATTGGGGCAATGCCTTGGTCTGCATCTCATGCCTCCTTCTACAAGTGGCCTTGTGCCTTCTAACTGTCCCGTTCAATGGATGCTACGCCTTCGCCATCCTCGTCGTGGTGTTCCTGATCCTTATTGTTGCCCTCCTTCAACCAAAGTTGCAGCATTCAGTAAACAAGTATGTGCTGCCCTCCTTCAACACAGATGCTGGCGATGCACAGGGAGACATCGGTGATCAAGAGTACCTGAACCATTTATTCGACATATCAAATGGCATTGCCACCTGTGGCGGCCTGGTCACCGGGATCATGGGATACTACTCCTACATGGTAGGGCCAGTCACCGCAGCTGGGTTCTTGTTCTTCTCCACTGTACTTCTCGGGCTCTATCTGATGATGGTCATAGCGATGAGAGCTGTGTCTCCACCCCATGCCGCCTGCCTCGTCATCGTGCTCAAGGCCCTCCTCCTGCTCACTATCATTACCGCCTCAATCTCATTTGTTCACCACTCAGTGACCAATCCACATGTTGCAAAGTAGACTCCAATCACAGAAAGACCCTCGCCTTGTTCTGACAATGTGACCAAAAAAGGCGGCTCCTCTCATTTCTGTTAGCTGAACTGTGAGTAATGGGTGATACATCTTCACAGGCTGATAGTCAAGGTTTGGAATGTATTCTGGAATAGCTCCAGTCCCTATCTAGCAGGCTGTGAAGAAATATTTTGCTTAATCAAATCGGGTAGCTCAAACTTAATATATGAAGCAAGTTTTAAGTAGTAGATGAACAGGAAGGGTGTGCCAATCACCTGGCTATAACTAGTTGGTGTGCTTCCATCGGTGGTCTCCCCTTGCTCCCACGGAGGCAGCGACGCAAGGATCCAGTAAACTCTACAGCAAGTATATTGCAAATAAGAAGAAAAACAAAGACAATTCTTGTATTTGAGAATCATTCAAATCCAGTGAGCAATATCAATGGCAGCATTGCATCTTTGAATTGGAATTGAACAGTTATTCCTGACTAAGTGACAAATTTTAGTAGTTTTAAAGAAGCACGTCTATGCTAGAAGAGCAACAACTGTAGACATGTTAATGTCCAATTCCTTTGTTCTTGCTCTCCTCAATATTTCCCTATATTTGTAGAGTGAGCTAGTCACAAGTGTGCAATAAAGAAGATTTACTGAATCATAAATTTAGCTCACAGTTTGAAAAACAAGTAGATGGTAAGAAAATGTTGCCACAACCCTTTCTTATATCTCCTCGCATTATCCAAAAATTTAGTTCAACATAATTTTTTGCATCAAACTGCTGAACACATCACACAGGCTGAGAAGAATAAATCAGCTGACCATAGTTTTAGTAATTTCAAAGCCTTGTAAAGGTAAACGGAACCAATGTGAATCTGTGTGGTAATACATTCAGAACCCTCGTTTTGAATGTTGACAAGGTTACAAACTGGCTTTGATACCAACAAAAAATAAAAAGAAATACAAAATAATATGTGATCATGTCATGTGAAGGTGAAGCTGAATAAATGGCATGTTTTTCCCAAATCAAAGACACCTACGAGGTTACCAATCTCATTTGACTTGATTATAACAACTTTAATTGAATGATCATATCTTGCATGGCTTTTTCATTGGCATAACCTGCCAGAAGTAAAATTTATCTATTCAATTTCAAGAAGGAATAAAAAATTACTTACTCAGTTTCAAGGAGACAGAATAGTAAGAACAAAATATTTGGCCATTGCCCTTGTGGTGATTATCGAGATTTGTATTCTGTGTTCACAGTCTTGTCGCTTGCCAAGTTGTGACAACACGCCATGGCGGCATAACCTGACGGAGGAGTTGCTTATTAGACATGACACACTATGGTGAAAACTCATGGCACTAAGCATCAGAGATCAATGGCAGGGATGAAAACTTAAGGAGCAGAACTTCATCTTAATCTCACAAATGCAGCTTTAATGGCACTATGAAGAACAGACTTCAAAATATCCGTGTCATATATTGTTATATGCTGTATTGCACAAATGCTTCATAATAGATGCAGTTATGCAAAGGAGCACAAAAATGAAACTTTAACAGGCTGCAGACATAGCTCTATTGAAAATGGGACTTAACACATGCAGGGCAGCTGAAGTGAACACATGCAAGTGACATTGTGTTGGACCCAGGGGAGCCTCAGATAGTCGATAGTAGTTGGTAGTCTAGTCCTGCCTTCATGCCCATGTACCAAGGGTGTATGTGCTATATAGTACCTATAACTGTATCAAGCTGTAAGTGCTATACTGATATATATAGTATTCATTGTCATTAATTGGTAAAGCAAGCAAGTAGTGAAGCATGAGCTCATAATTTAAGAGCAAGCCAGTAAGGCAGTTGTGAATAGATTAGCGGAAACAAATGGGACAAAATGGCATCCCCAGTATCCTCAACTGGCAGGTGGCAGCTAAACCCAACGTGCAGCCAAATCGCCGTCCTCCCTCCCTGATCGCCTGATCGGACGACTGATCACGATAAGTCAACTGCCGGTCAGACGACTAGAATCCTACAAACCCAATCGAGCTAATCGGGTGGGTGTGACAGGTAAGTATGACTAATTGCGATTAGTCGGAGAAATTAGATCTCACCTGCTGTTGCTTTCCACTTCCAGGTTGCAGCAGCATGAACGGGTTCGTTGCCCTCGATGTTGGCGGACGGAATGGCGATGATGGGATTGCTCCTCCTCACTTGACCCTCGCTAGTCCCGCGCCTGGCGCAAACCATGGAGATCAGATGGTCGGCGATTGGACGACGAGGACTGCAGATCATGGGCAGAAGAAATCCCCGCTCCGGTGGCGTCGCCGTCGCGGGCGCTGGTGGCGGGCCTCATCGCAGAGGACGGTGGGGAGGAAGAGCGGGGAGTGAAGCGAGGACAGGGAGACTTGCGGAGGCGGAGCAGAGAGAAAATCAGGAATGGTTGGGACGGAGGACGGGAGGAAGGCTTTGCAGGGGGAAATGTTGAAGGGTGCTGTGTTCGTGAGTAGGGCAGGCTTGACTTTGCGGGATATTTAATTTTTACCGTCACAACGGATGGCCACTCCTTGATAGTAGTTTTATAATTGGCGCTACGATTTTAACAGCTGAGAGAGAAAAACGATATATTTTTACCATAATTACTGGCGTGGCACGCCACCTCAACTGCCCAGCGTGGCAGGCGAAGGGAAAATGACCGCCTCTGCCCCCTGCCCTCTCTATCCCTCCCCACGCGCGGCCCGCCCACTCTAGCTCGCCCTTCCGCTCCTCCTTTCTTCTTCCTCCCGCTCTGCTCGTCAACGCCGCCACCCAACGCCGCCGTACACCCCACCGCGCCCAACGCCGCCCCCCACGGCGAGCCATGTCATGGTGTTTTTTTTCCCGTCTAAAACAATGATTGCATATGTGAAACTTTTTACTACCAGCAATTGTTTTCCCAGCAGTACGTAATAAGCTGAATATTAGCCTTGATAAGTAAAGACTCATTCATAACAAAACTGCAATGAGAAAACAGTTGCATTTATATTTGTGAAAACTAGAAAGTTTTATATAACAAAAAATCTGATGGGAAAGAAATATTTATTGGGTAAAAAATAAATATAATTTTAGAACTTCCATACATAACATTTAAATCGATTGCTTCCTAATTTCAAGATGGTCAAATGCTAGAAACAAACGAAGGATCAATATCAATATAACTATTGGATCAAGGACGGTAGTAGCCCAAATAGTGACACACAGCCAACAAGATGAGAGCTTGAATAAATTAGAGCTAGCAGTTAAGGCTCATCATCTCTACTGGATTTCTTTGCTTACGACTATATTATAGGATTGGATGCTGATATGAGTACTCGACCATTTGGGCCCTCCTGGTTGCGAGGAACCAGCACGGTGATCCCGGCCGGCCCATATGCATGCTCAACACGATCCACCAGCATTCCTTGGCCTTGGGCGGCCGCGCGCGCTTTGTGTGTGCTGGACTGGACCATGCTACGAGTGCGTGGACGACAATAGGCCACATATACTCGGCCTGCCTGCTGCAGTCTCGCTACATACATACGTGTATACTAGTATATCCGTGTAATAAAAAAGTAGAAAGAGACGTGAAAAGTCTTGTAAATAAAACTGCTGCTAATAAAAGCAATTCAATCCGTCACCATTAATTAATATAACTGCGGATTGAGGAGGTGGGCCTATGGCGCAACACAACAACCCCTGTACTAGGACGACAAAAACATCGCGACGTCGGCCTGCCGCTCTCGATCTCCTCCTCCAATCACGTTCAAACGAAGCAGCAACCTCCAATCACGCACAAAGGAAGCAGAGATCCGCGGCATCCTTCTTTATCCTCCTCTTCACGCCCGACGCCGAGAGGGTCGATGGTCGAAGATGGTGAACGGCGCGTCATGACCAGCGGCGACGGAATCAAACACCGCCGAGAGCTCCACGGCCACCAAGCTCCGATCCAGGTCCAACATCTCCTCCCTCTCTTCCCCTCTCTCCCGCTCGTGGCCTGTTAGTGAATCCCTTCTTGCCTCCGGTTGATGTGTTCCTGAAATCTGAATCTGCTTGCCTCCAGATGTTGATGCCGGCGCTATGAACAACTGACTCTTTGATACCTATATATTGGATTTTGTTACTTAGATCTGCCTTTGGTCTAGAAAAAAAATAGATAAACTGAACACTGAGACGTGGTTAGATATTGGACATGTCACTTTAGGCCTCTCACATCGAATCTTTGTATGGATGTTTAATCTCTGACAGCACAATGGAAGACGCCATGGGGAAACAAAAATGAATCTGATACAGGCCTGCAGGTGGGCGAGAGAATTATCTTCTGATCTAATTGTCTCCGGTGAATCTCTGACAGGAAAGAAGTACAATACACAAATTATGAAATGGAAGCCACCTCCTGCTGGCTTTGTGAAGATCAACGTGGATGCTGCTTTCAAGGCGGAAAGTCAACAAGGTGCTACTGGGGTGGTAATTCGTGATGAAAATGGTCATGTTCTAGCGACTAAATGCAAATGGTATGATTCGATTCCAAACATTCTCACTGTTGAAGCCTATGCTGCACGTGATGGGGCTGTATTGATGAATTTGCTGAATCGACCAAAGGTGATGTTGGAAACTGATAGTTTAGAGTTGCAATCCTTATGGAGAAGTAAAGATAATAACAGGTCGACTATCCTCCTGTTCTAAATGAAGTTCAAGAGCTTATGGGGAGATGCATGGTTTTTGAATTATCTCATGTCAAAAGAGAGGCAAATTCTGTAGCCCATGATCTTGCTAAGTATGCCTCGATTTCATGTTTACAACGTACTTGGTTGTATGAAACCCCTGAATGTATTCTTCCCAAGTATCCAGCATGACTGTAATGGTGACGTTTAATTAATATAAGCTCTTGTTTTCTCAAAAAAAAAACAGAACATCTATTGCAAGGTACACCTACTCATCCTTTTTTTTTGAGGCAATCAGCGCTATCTCTGAACAACTTCCCGTACGGTGTCGGCCCTTGGTACGTGTAACATAAGCTTTGAGGAAATTCGTTAGGAGTTTGGATCTCAATCAGCCCCAATCACACTAGGGTTTATCTAAACCGTTACCAATGGCGCCACTGAACTTCCCTATGAGGAAAGGTTAGGGTTTATCTCAATCAGCCCCCAATCTAGGGTTTATCTAAGTTACCACGAACTACGCCAGAAAGCCGGAAAAGCAATGGGCGAATCACACGGATGCGGAATCCCGTGAGAGGAAAGGAAAGGCAAGATTACCTTCGATAGTGGCGACGCTAGAGCCCAGCGACGCCGACGCCATCACCCTCGCCCCTGACGCTAGAGCCCGAGCCGCCGACGCCATCACCCTCGCACGCGATCGGCTCGGGGGAGGAGTTCGCCTCGCCGATGAGTCCGAACTCGCCTCGAATTGGAAGAAGGCACGGCCAGGGGTTTAAGGGGGAGGGGAGGGCAGGCGCCGAGAATGGGCCTAATGGGCTTGACTGATGGGTCAGCACCGCTTGAGCATTTTGCGTTTTGCAACAGCAATGGTTGAATGTTGAATTCTTGACAATTGTTTTGCCTCACTTTTCTGAGTTGGGTTTCGTCCTCAGACCTCAAAGTAGAGTGATTATCTCATTTACTTGAATTTAACGTCAGTATGACATGAACGTACCAATTAACCTAGCCATTGAACACTGTAAGTATACCTGCTACTGCTAGGCCAGTGAGTTATGGATCATTAGCACCAATTGTGTCCTCATGTTGGACTGAATCTCAGGAACAGTTACTAGTTAAGTTCGTCCAAAGAAATTTCCATAATCAACTACAACAAACTTGTCAGAGTTCATGATGAGGACATCACTTCTTCAGAGGCACCCGCTGATCCTCCAACCATCATGCAAGGTCTAATGACCCGGGCTCGAATACGACAACTCAATTTAGAGGTGAGCTCGTTCTTAAGCGATCATTTTCATACTTTTGAGAATAGACTACTACCTAATGATGTTATCTTGCTTAGGAACATTGGAGAGGGTCATGAGGGACTTAGAGGACGTGGTGGACGCGAGGATGACCAGCAAGGACGTCCAACAGAAACCGGAGGCCCGATCCAACATGATTTCGAGTCTGCCTCGGTCTCCAAGACCAGTCTGCCTTAAACTGGTCACCTAGGACGCATCCGGACCCCGTTTTCGATGATCCACATATGGATGGAAAACTAATTTGATAAGGAAACCAATCCAAGTGGTCTCACGTCAAAAGCTGTTCGGAATCAACGGGAATCGTGGTCACAAGTCAGCGTCCAGAATCTGCTAAGGTGCTACGACACCGTCTTTTGGTCCGTTGGACCATGTATTGTGTTTGGGCCCATTAGGGGCATGTCCAGGGGTCTTGCACGACCCTAGAGTCTTCATAAACAGCCGTCACCCCTCCATTAGGGTTTGGGTTTTGCTTAGATTATTCTGTCAAGAACAGTTTCGCCGTTCATCAATTTGTGAGACCCCAACTTTGAGAGATTAACCATTCATCTGCAATTTAGTTGCGTTCTTTCTTGTTCTTGCTTGTGTTCTTCATTGCGCAGGCAGGGATTAGCCTTCTTGGCGAGGTCAACCTGGTCCGTGACTCGGTTGATAACCAGAGGAGCTGTGGTGCTAAGATTGCAGGGTTCGATCTTTCAATCTAAAGCCGGATCGGTGTGTCATTCTCCACCACAACAATAGTTACCACCACCTGACGGAAGATCGGGATCCCCGTCTCCATTAAGTGGTAATCAGAGCTAAGGTATACCATCAGGTTTACATTTATTCCTTAGTTTTGAGTGTTTTGGATTCGTCCCATAGTCTAGTGCCATACTCGTTTTTCCTGTCCTAGAACCTTCCGCGCCATAGCCTTTGCATATTTCAGTTTTAGAGTCCGTCGTGTTGAGTTTGTGTCCTGGTCGAGGTCTTGTTGCTGGTTAGGTCGTGTTAGAGTTCAGTTTGTGTGTTTTTCCCATCGTTTTCATCAAATTCTTGCTGCCGTGACCACTTTTGCGCATATTGTTCCCGTTTTGTCCTCTAATTCGAAGTCAATTCTTAAAACTGGTCTAGTTTTCGCATACGAACTCCGATTTCGACGTTCCATATATCAAAATCGATCGAAAAAAATTTTGGATCCGTCCATCCCCACTTTATGTTGTCGGAGATTTTTATTTTGGTCAAAAAGTGGTCACAAGATCCTCTTTTCGTGGTCACAATGTTTTTGTCGATTTTGAGCACGTATTCTAAAAATTCCACAGGCCACGTCTTTCACTTGTTTGAGCTCATATTTTCTGTGGTTACTTCTTTTGTGCTCCTAAGTGAAGAAAAAATATTAAAAAAATAAAATAAAAAGTCAAAATTTCCCAAAAAATAACGATAGCCTAAAAAATAGAACAAAGAGAGGACCAAAAAGGAACAATATATAGAGGAGCACATAGAGAAGGCCAAAGTGAGCTGTGTTAGTGTGTGCTGTCTGGTTCCTTGTTTTTGTTGCTCTTGCTATCCGCCATACTTGTTTTTCATACCCCTGTCACCTTGTTATCCACCATATTTGTTTGTTACACACCTGGTACTTGGAACATTTTAGACCAACAACGAGAATAAGTACTTTAGACTATAATTCAGCATTACTTTCTGTTACTGACTTGTGTGTAAATATACATATTACTCTTTGTTGGCCTTCCAAGCTCCACAAACTCTTCAGATCAGTACAGAAAAAGGGACTTTGCAATCTCGGTACCACTGCCTCACAGGTATCACGAACCAGTCACCGGTTGTACCGTCCACTGCTTGCGTTGGTAAGAACTTTGTAAGAGCTTGGTAAGATGCTTCCACTTGCTATGAAAAGTGATACCACTACAACCACGTAGTCATTTGGTAGGGATAACTTTCACCGTTTGTTCCTGTTTTTGTGTTTACAATGGCAAGAGGTGATCATATTGGAGATAACAATCCTAAGGGTTTCAATGAGTGTGTCAGCCAAGAGCAACTACAAGCTATTGTAGAGGATGCTCAAAAAAGGATGAATGAGGCCGTCAGGAAGGCCGTCACTGACGCACTCATTGAACTCAACATTGGCAACAACATGGAGAGATTGGACAAATGCATTTCCACGCTAACCGACAAGGTTACTGAGTTGGAGACATTGGTGGCGGTCAACAACAATGACGTCTCCTGGCAGCAACACCGATGGTCTCTTGCTAGAAGACATGGTGCATGGTGCCGCTGGGAACTTAGGTCGAGCAGCCTTCCGACAAGCAAGATTACGACGACGTCTTCGCCGCAACATGACAGGTATGGGTGGTGTCCACCACCATCAAGGTAATAATCACCGTGTACCCAATGATCCTTATGCTAAGATTAAGTTCACAATACCATCTTTTTTGAGGTTATTATGATGCTGAGGGATATCTTGATTGGGAGATGACAGTAGAATAAAAGTTTAGTGCCCACCTTGTGCCTGAGCATCATAGAGTTCGACAAGCTACTAGTGAGTTTAAGGATTTTGCCATTATTTGGTGGAATGAGCTAGCTGCATAGGATGCTTTACCTCGTACGTGGGAAGAACTTAAGGTAGCTATGCGTGATCGTTTTGTTCCTCCTTATCATAGAGACTTGCGTAAGAAATTGATGCGTTTAGAACAAGGAGATAAATCTGTATAGGATTATTATGGTGAACTCCAAAAGGGATTGATGCACTGTAGTGTTGTGGAGGCAAACAAAGATGCCATTTGTCATTTTTATTCGGGTTTGAGGCGTGAGATTCAGGACATTATTGATTATAAAGAATTTAACACTGTCAACCAGTTGTTTCAGTTTGCTATGCTTGCAGAAAAGGAACTGCAAGGGCGTGAACAGCAGAGCAAGAGCAAGGTCAGCACCACCACATACACGCCACGCTCGGCACCATCTTCGGGGCTGATCAAGCCAACCACTTTTCGGGCGCCTCCAGCAGCGAGCAAGCGACCAACAGCCTCTGGAGTTTTCGCTACACCTATGGCACCTCCCACATGACCTTCAGATTCAGGTAAAAATTCTTTGCAGGTGCCTACCAAGAGTTCCTCATCCGTTGCATCGACGGGACGCACTTCGAGCATTCAGTGCCACCGCTGCCATGGCATTGGCCATGTGCAGAAGGACTGCCCAAGTCAACGGGCATATATTGCTATAGAAGATGGTTATATCAGCACCTCTGACATTGAGGATGAAGAAGACCAAGATGCAGATGAGGAGGACGGCAAAGTCCTTGGTGACGAGGCCACGGCGGCCTATAGGAGCATCATTGTATAACGGGTGCTCAGCTCACAAGTCCAGCAACCTGAGAAGCTACAACACCATAACTTGTTCCATATTTTCTTCATCATCAGCGACCGTCGCGCACGTGTCATTATTGATGGAGGTAGCTACAACAATTTGGTGAGTTCTGATTTGGTCAAGAAGCTTGGCTTGTCAAGAAGCTTGGCTTGACCACACGCCCACACCCACGTCCATACCATATTCAGTGGTTAAATGATTCTAGTAAAGCAAAGGTAACACAAACTTGCAGAGTTTCATTTTCCATTGGTTCTTATGCTGATTCTGTTGATTGTGATGTGGTACCTATGCAAGCTTGTTCACTCTTATTGGGTCGTCCTTGGGAACATGATAATGATGCTACACACCATGGTAGAAGTAATAAATACACTTT